TACAGTATAGGTTCGGTTGCCCACACAAGGGACGTGAAATGTGCCGCAACGGTTATGACAGAAACTTCGATCGCATCCCTTCTTTTTGGTTTCTACTTTTTTCTCTGAAATTTCTTGAACGAGCTATTGGATTACACTACTTCGAGAATGCTACGTATACGATACTACAAATGTTTTGTTTAAGCTTTCAATTATTTGTCTCCCCGCTGAAGGATAGATCTGGCCCGAAGTGATGTGATGGCACGCTTACCACTCGCAAGTTCCAGAGGTCGACCCCCTGATAGCCTCCTGCCCAGATCGACCAAGGCTTCTACCACTCGGAAGGGCGAAGTGGTACCCAATTCGTCTGTGAGGATAAGAACACTGACCTATACATCGGCTGGCCCCGCAAGTAACGAACTGCATTGCATTCAATAAGCCCACTGCGTTTCTGAGTGGGAGTAGAAGGCGTGCCCCACCTCAAAAGGGGTTGACTAACGGTGAAAACTTGATTTTTTTAATCCTTTTGTCCCTGTGGAAGCTACCTCATAGTTCAACCCTGCGTTTTTTGTTTTCAGCATGTAATAGAAATTTCAAAGTATTTCTCTTTCCAGATTTCATGCTGTCTTGGTCAAATCGAGCTGGAGGGTAAGCGTATGGCCGTTACTGTTGCTGGAAGAACTTTGCCCTCATTCAGGTCTTTATCTCAAAATTTTTATTCAGAAAATCATAGCACTTTATGCTCTACACGCTTTCAGAGCATTCGATCCATCACCTCGTGCTGGCGGATACATCGATCAACGTTTCCTAACGGGGATAAATCCTCAGGAGCTATTCTTCCACACCATGGCCGGAAGAGAGGTTAACATTTTTCAAAAGCTTATTTCTTCTCTTTTTTAGTTGTTCTTTTCCAATTGCTCAGGATTTGAACTGTTCGCGATGTAGACAGGAATGTGTAACTGCAACTAGTATTCAGCACGTCGATTTCATTTTCATCTTTGTTCAGGGTCTGATTGATACTGCTGTTAAAACTTCTCGCTCGGGATATTTACAAAGATGTTTGATAAAGCACTTGGAGGGCTTGAGGATCCATTATGACGGGACTGTCAGAGATCACGATGGCTCGGTCGTGCAGGTGCCGTTTTTGTAATATTCAGAGGAGCGGAGAGGTCTGACTGAGCAAGAGGTTTAAGCTGCTTTATACAGGGGGGGGGGCAAAAAAAGACATTTCGACCGAGTCACATATCAGCAAAGTTTTCGCAGCCCAGACAGAGGACGTGGATACGAGTACCAGGGCGGAAGATACCCAAGATGTTCCTCTATAAGCAGGAGCTGGCGCTCGCCCATCACCTTCATGTACACCAAAATATGAAGTCATCTCCAGCCGCAACCTGACTGGAGAAGACGTTCGAATTCATGTCACCTCTGAAGCAGCTCGAAATTCTTGTATGGACTCACCCAATAAATAGCCCCGGAGAGCAGTACTCTCGATCTGGAAGACCTCCATCATCGAGCAGCTCCGTCAACGTCGCTACGGTCTAGGACATCATCTTCACCTCAGTCGCCAAGGCGCCAGTTGATGGTGGGACCGGACGTACCTGGAATGGAGAGACCGATATTTTCTTCGTGGGCCCCGGACTAAAGGTGAGCGCTGGCGGTTACATCGAGCAACTCGAGAAGAATATCCTCTCCACATGTCGTCGCCCGTACCTTCTTGGAAACTTTGTACTGCTACAGCATTGAGTGCCACCACATGGAATCGAAGGGCGTTGGAGAAACTCTCGCCTACTCGGAATGGAAGGGCTTGAGTACCTAAAGAAGATGGGATATCTAAGTCGGTCACCCGACCTGAATTTCCTCAATACGCTTGGTTCGAGGCCGCAGTCGATAGAATGGTCACAGTGTGAAAATCAATGATTAGTTAACTCACGACCCACTGACGTCGCGTGGCAGAATCTCTCGATGGCGCTCTCCAGAAGGCTGTGGCGGAGTATCATGATAGTATTTAATATGCTCTTTAATATGGTGGTAGAAATGTCCGATAAGAATTTAATAAAGTGTAGTTATAGCGCCTCGAAAGTCGAGGAAGAAAAGTCTTTTTTTGCCCCCCCCCC